AGGAGGAGACACGCGTAGGTCGCAGAAGGACTACGCCCACGAGGCTAAGGGGGTATACTAGGAAAGGTTCTGGAGCGTCTCCGCCGCAAAAATCCCGAGGCAAAGCCACACTGACGTGGCCTTCAATGAGGATGACGCCAGCGAAGTCCATTTCCCCCACAACGACGCACTGGTGGTAGAAGCAGTGATCGGAAACCACACCGTATGTCGAATCTTGGTGGACAATGGAAGTTCGGTGGACCTCCTGTATTCCGACTGCTTGGAGAAAATGGGGATCCACGAGGGGCAGTTGGAAAGAACCACCAGGCCACTGTACGGGTTCACGGGAGACTCCATCATTCCTCAAGGTACTATCCGACTACCTATAACCGCCGGAGAAAAACCCCGACAAGCAACAACGATAGCCAACTTTGTGGTCATCAAAGGAGGCTCCCAATACAATGCAGTAATCGGGAGACCAACCCTCCAAGCATTAAAAGCAATAACCTCCGTCTACCACCAAAAGGTCAAATTCCCCACCCCAAACGGCGTAGGAGAAATTAAGAGCAACCAGTACGAAGCCAGGATCGCATACTCCGATGCCTTACGCGGATATGACCAGCCGGGAAGACAGGAAACGAGGATGGTTCAACAAGGCCTCGTTGAGGATATAGACCCTCGGGTCCAAGAGGAAGTTACTTGGTCTCAGCCCATCGAACAGTTGGAAGAAATCCAGATTGACGAAAGCGGAACCATCAAAATACTAAAAATAGGTTCGGACTTGACCCCACCACTCAAAAGCAGGATTGAAAATTTCCTCAGGCAAAACCTAGATGTCTTCGCCTGGAGCCACTCTGACATGGAGGGGATCGACCCCAAAGGAATGAGTCATTCCCTAAACGTCGACCCCACGTATCCTCCCAAACGCCAAAAACGGTGACCAATGAACCCTGAGAGGTACGAAGCGCTGAAGGAAGAGGTCGACAAGTTAGTCAACAATGGATTTATCCGGGAGGCGCATTATCCACGTTGGGTATCTAATCCTGTCTTGGTAATCAAACCTAACGGGAACTGGAGAACATGCGTCGACTTCAGCGACCTCAACAAAGCATGCCCAAAGGACGGCTTCCCACTCCCTCGAGTAGATCAAATGGTCGACGCCACGGCGGGGCACGAAATGCTGAGCTTCATGGACGCTTACTCCGGATACAATCAAATCCCCATGCATCCAGCCGACGAAGAGCACACATCTTTCATAACCGATAGGGGTCTCTACTGCTACAAAGTAATGCCTTTCGGCCTAAAGAATGCAGGGGCTACTTACCAAAGGCTAGTGAATAAAATGTTCGCTCAACAGATCGGCAAAACGATGGAGGTCTACGTCAACGACATGCTCGTAAAAAGCGCCAGGGCCAGCCATCACGTCGATCATTTGGGAGAAATGTTCGGCATATTGAGAAAATACCGCATGAAACTTAATCCCCAGAAATGCGCCTTCGGAGTCGGGTCGGGAAAGTTTCTCAGGTTTATGGTCAGTAACCGCGGAATTGAGGCCAACCCTGAGAAGATCAAAGCTCTGCAAGATATACGGTCACCAACAAAGCCAAAAGAGGTGCAAAGATTGACAGGTTGTGTCGCCGCCCTAAATAGATTCATATCGAAAGCCACTGACAAGTGTGTCCCTTTCTTCGACGCTTTGAGAGGAAACAAACACTTCGAATGGACACCACAGTGCGAGGAGGCCTTCCAAAAACTGAAGGAGCATTTGGGCAAACCTCTAATTTTGTCAAAACCAAACGATGACGAAGAGCTCAGCCTATACCTCTCCTTGTCCCAACACGCCGTGAGCTCCGTACTAATAAAGGAATAAGGGAAGGTACAGTTGCCGATCTATTATGTGAGTAAAAGACTCCTCGACGCCGAGTCGAGATATAGCGAAATGGAACGTCTAGCCCTCGCCTTGATGATAGCTTCGAGAAAGCTTCGGCATTACTTCAAATCCCACACAATACGAGTTCTCACAAACCACCCGTTGAGACAGGCCTTACAAAAACCGGAAACATCCGGACGGCTCCTCAAATGGTCGGTAGAACTGAGCCAGTTTGATATAAAATACATGCCGAGAACCGCTATTAAAGGTCAAGCGCTCGCCAACTTTCTGGCTGAATTCTCTCACAGGCCAACCTACACCCCATCTGAAGAAACCGAGGTTGCAAGATGGAAGCTTTACGTGGATGGGGCGTCGAGCGAAAACGGATAAGGAGCCGGCATCTTACTAATTAGCCCCGAAGGCCACAAGATTACCTCGGCGGTATGGTTCAAATTTAGAGCATCAAATAATGAGGCGGAATATGAAGCCCTAATTGCCGGACTTCGTTTAGCAAATCACTTAAAGGTCGAGAGAATCAGCGTCTACAGCGACTCCCAGCTAGTCGTCGCGCAAATAAAGGAGGAATATCAAGCGCGCGGCGAGAAGATGGGGGCATATCTAAGAAAGGTAAAAGAGGAGCTCGTTAAATACAAAAACTACGAGGTGCTCCAGATCCCGCGAGCCGAAAATGCAAACACAGATGCACTAGCAAAGCTGGCTTCGTCAAAAGATGCCGACACACTAGGCGTTGTCCCCATTGAAGAATTGGAACGGCCGACCATCGAGGAGCGCGCTGAGGCATTTAGTGTCCAAGAGGGAGAAAATTGGATGACACCACTCATACGGTACCTAATGGACGCACAGCTGCCGAATAGCAAAAATGAGGCCCGACGGATCAGGTATAGAGCCGCCAGGTACTTATTATACGATGGCCTGCTCTACCGACGAGGCTACTCAACACCTCTACAACGGTGCCTAGATGACGCCGAAGCCCAGAAGGTCCTCCAAGAAATACATGAAGGGATCTGTGGCAATCATTCCGGGGGACAATCTTTAGCGCTAAAGGTTTTGAGGCAAGGATACTACTGGCCCACGCTAAAAAAGGATGCTTTCCAGTACGCCCAACGATGCGATAAATGCCAAAGGTATGCCACGATTCCTAGGGCACCCCCAGAAAAGCTAACTTCCATTCTCAGTCCATGGCCCTTCGCCAAGTGGGGGATTGACCTGATCGGGCCATTGCATCCTGCACCTAGGGGGTTGAAATTCGCAATCATTGCGGTAGACTATTACACGAAGTGGGCAGAGGCTATACTTGCTTTCCGCCGAGCACTCAACCACCGACGCTTCGTTCTCCTCAAGATCAGGTATAGAGCCCGAAGATGAAATCCATGATTAGGGCGACGACCCCATGAGACGTCGACGGTTGATTCCGCCTGGGTCGAACACGACAAGATCCCTCGACTGCAGAAGAGGTCATTAGGAGGGGCAAGAAAGGTTAAACAACCACTGACGACAAGGGGAACGTCCCTTTTTGACATGATAGGTTACATGCAAAGATAAGAGAAGTCTGACAGCATTAATTGCAAGTTTACAAACCGCCCCCCAGGGGACATAAAAGCATTACGGAGAGTCACAGAGCCGTAATAGAAGACTAATTGGTTGAGTGAACAATACTGATTAGTGGGCTATGTCTGGGCCTAGAGCACTTGAGTGTTCCTACCTACGAAGGAAACCCACCCAGCGAAGGAAGTCCGAATATAAAAGAAGAAGGACCCCAATAGGAAAGAGGGGAGAAAAATTCAAAAGGAAAAAGAACGAGCGAAAGAGAGAGATAGTATTCATTGTAAACTATGATCTCTACAAAAGAAATATAATATATACAGTGGATGTAGCTCTGATTTTATAGAGTGAACCACTACAAAATTCTGCTTGCTCATTTACATACAGTTCGTTCAAACATGAAAATACTTAAATCAAACTAGAATCCACACTTTTATTAAACCCACGAACCGGTAATCCTAAAGGTAACCCTAAGGTATTCCGGCAAGTTTATTGTTGACGAAATCCAACCGTCAACAATTACTATTATAAATAATAATATTATTATGAATTACATATTATTAACGGCCGTGATAATAAATGAAAGTTTTGACCGAATCTCAAATGTATTAACTAACAAATAATTGTAATCAGCTGGGGAGCGACGCGGTGGTCCCGTATATATAATTGGAATATTAATTGATGATTAATAAGACTGAATACAACTGCTGTGACAAAATTAACTCAGCGTCCTTCACCATCTGCCAATTGCTTACGCCACTGACAAATTGACTATTATAGCCATATAGGCGTTTTTCTTTTGAATAATCCATAATTGTATCTATATTGTTGAAACACGTTAGATATTTAGTTCTTTTATTCCTTATATTTTCATGCAGCAAAACTACGATTTCACATGTACTATATGTTTGTGGAGGCAGTCCAGATAACCCTACTGCGCATTAGGGTTATTTCGACTGTTTTTACACATTTAATTAAATTAGGTATGAAAATCAACAAAGACCTAACGATAAAAAGTTATGGTTATTTTTCTCATACATACTCTTAAAAAAAATAACAAAGAACATTCATGGCCTTTTTTTTTTTTTTTTTTTTCTTTGAAGAATATCAAGCCGATACTAGCGTGCTACGTACCCATGGTATCAAACGTTTATATTGCTTGGAAACAAAATAATAAAATCAGTATAAGGTAATATATTCGAGGCTAGCTATATCTAATTAAACTTTTTTCTTGGAAACATATGTAAGGGATTACCTCAACGCACGTCATATATGACAGAGTTTCATGCTTTGTTCACTGTATTTTCTCAGTCTCTTATAAGTATTTCTTTTCTTTTTTTTCTTTTTACCTTGTTATTATTATTATTTTTTAAATCTTGCAACTCTCTAATTAATTTGGTCAACCTAATTCCTGCATGACTATAATTTGGAGTTTTGGACAGAACCCACAACACAAACAGTTGGGGTCAACCAAACGCCTTAATTAATCCACCGGGTCCCACCTCTCCCTTCCTCCTTCCTTCCCCATGTCTTTTATAAGCCAATTCTGCCATATGTTTTGCCACCACTACTATTACTACTACGACGATTTTATAATTTAACAATATTTATCTCCAAAAAAATAAAAAAATAAAACTGTGGAGATCATCTTGATCAAGAATTAAGATTGAATGCGATGCATTATTCAACAGCCGCCATGGATGAAGAAGCCCTATTCTTCCCTTCTTCAGACACAGATCTAGACTTGAGCTTCACCAGCATCGCCTCCACCGACCGCACCACCACCACCACCACCACCAGCGCCCGCACCAGCTTGGCCCGCAGCAGCCTTACTCTCAGCTTCAACGACCGCCTCTCCACCACCGCCGAGACTTACAACACCACCACCTCCTCTTCCTCTTCCTCCCTCCTCCGCTCCCATCGCCGCTCTTCTGACGACCCTCATTGGTCCGCCATCAAGGCTGCCACCACCCTCTCCTCCGACGGTGCCCTCCACCTTCGCCACCTCAAGCTCCTCCGCCACCTCGGCACTGGCAATCTTGGGCGCGTCTTTCTTTGCCGCCTCCGCGACTACGACAACCATGCCAACGCCAACTTTGCGCTTAAGGTAAATAAGAAAAATTATAATTCTACCCCAACTGGATAACACATATTTATATAAGTATCTTATTAAAAAAAAAAAAAAATGTCTGCCTTCATTAGGTCGTGGATAAGGAGTCTCTTAGTGCCAAGAAGCTCTCCCACGTGAAGACGGAGGCGGAGATCCTCTCCACCCTAGACCATCCTTTTCTCCTGACTCTCTATGCGCACATAGAAGTCTCCCACTACACCTGCCTCCTCATCGACTACTGCCCCGGCGGCGACCTCCACGCGCTCCTCCACCGGCAGCCCGGCAACCGCCTTCCTCTCAAGGCGGTCAAATTCTTCGCCTCCGAGGTCCTCGTTGCCCTCGAGTACCTTCACTCGCTCGGCATAGTCTACCGGGACTTGAAACCGGAGAACATCCTCCTCAGAGAGGACGGCCACATCATGCTCTCCGACTTCGACCTCTGCTTCAAGGCCGACGTGGTCCCCATTCTCGTCCAGTACACCACCAGCACCCCCACCCGCAGCCGCGCGGGCTCCCTGTCTTGTTTCGGGGAGGACGAAGAGGAGGTGGTTACGACGGATATTGTCGCGGAGCCGACGGCGGCGTTCTCGAGGTCGTGCGTCGGGACCCACGAGTACTTGGCGCCGGAGTTGGTTGCTGGAAATGGACATGGGAATGGGGTGGACTGGTGGGCGTTTGGGGTGTTGATATACGAATTGGCTTACGGTACGACGCCGTTTAAGGGTGGGAGCAAGGAGAGTACCCTGCGCAATATAGCATCGACCAGGGATGTGAGATTTCCCGAGAATGACGAAGAAGAAGGAGAAGAGATGTCGTTGTTGAGAGATTTGGTGGAGAAGCTGCTGGTGAAGGATCCCAGGAGGAGGCTAGGATGCGCCAGGGGTGCCACGGACGTTAAACGACACCCATTCTTCAGAGGGATTAAGTGGGCTTTGATCAGAAACTACAAGGCACCGGAGGTGAGAGGACTGCCGAGGAAAACGACGATGACTAAAGGGCACGTGACAACGCACGTGAGTAGCCACAGGAGACGGCGGCTCTCGCGGTGGTTGGTGAGCTGGAAGGGATCGGTGCTACTCGGTTGCTACAAGAAGAAGAAACCGTGTCGTTTCGTACACGTTTAAGGATCGATCTCATTTCAATATTAATATTTCACCCTATAGTACACATCCATGTTCCAATCACAAGATTTTACGAGTTTCTTTTTGCTTTCTTTTATTTTTCTTTTCGTCAGATGAAAAAGAAAAAAAAAAATCTAGTGGAGTACTACACATGACACTGTAAAGAAGTTATAAATATATATGTTAGGGAGAAAGAGAGAGCGGCTTTGGTATGTCGTTTGTAATTATTGAGACATGATGAGTGGATAGAGTACTTTTTCTTTCTTTCTTTCTTTGTATAATATATGGATCAAAACTAAACGTTTAATGAAAAGATTCATAGCTATCTCTTTGTAATTTTTGGGTAGTCAATAATACAAGAGTAATATTCCTAGATTTACTTGTATTACAGTCTAAGTTATTAGATCATTCGAATTATGGGAGATTTGGCATGGCAACTTCAGAAATATTGCAGCAACTGTGGTAAATATTCTGATAATTTCTAATTTTTATTCAAACCCAGTACTAACAATAATTATTATTATTTTTTTATTATTATTGCATGCACAGCACTATCACTACTTTTAATTCCGGTAACATTAAAAGTTTAAGAAATTGTACCGATATATGGCCATATCCGTTACGATATAAACCTGATTTTTGTTGCTTTTAAATACTTGTATACTTTGTGAGGGATAAAACCTCATGTGCCCCTGGCTAGGAGATTCCTCTTTCTTTAACTCTTTTACTTTAAAAATACCTTTTCCTATTATTGAGTTTTTGGAACTAAAGAGAGGGAAAATTAAAAATGAAATAGCGATGTTCGGCAATGATCTGTAATACAAAGGCATAATGCCACTATATCACCCGGCCACATATAAGAAGCACACAGCAGACTTCGGAGAGAGAGAGAGGGAGAGTAGAAATAACAAACGACATAAATACTGTCAACAACAACAAGAAAATCAAAAGACTGCACAAGCGAACTACAAAAATAAAATAAACTGTAGAAGTACAAAGGATAATAAAAAGATACAACGACAAAAAGAAAAAAAAAAAAACCGCATTTAACTGTCAAACGACAAGAATAGATTTTAAACAACAGCAACGAGGAAAACAACAACGAAAGGGACAAATGATATTGAATATCAAAACAACGTAAGAAAAATGGAAATCAATAAAAGAGTACGACAACAAAAATTTAAACGGCATTGGATGTATAAACAACAAGAATCAAAAGTACAAATAATGTCGAAGATAAAATTGAATGTAAAACCATTTGTGGTCAAATTTAGGGTTTCAATTTAGAGAAACAGCAAAATTTAACTAGTCATGATTGCAAAATTTATATCTTTACTGCCTTTTCTTACTCTTTTATTGTATAATAGGTTTTTATTCATTTATTTATTTTTTTGACATGTCAATTGAACACGATCACGATCATCATTACTGCTTAATCAATTTCATTATCTCGTGTTAAATGATGGGATATGCCACCGGCCCTTAAATAAGTTGTTAAGGTTGTATGCTTACTTACCATGATTGAAGAATGGGAGTGGAGAATAAGAGTCAATTCCATATTTACTTGCTCTTTTTGATTCTGAAATGGGAGTGAGATTGGTGGGTCCCACTCAAATTTGAGATTGAGGAATAGGATTGACACTCCTATGCCCCCCTTGGGATTGAGACTCTCATTCTTAATATTAATATTAATTTACTATCATACCCTTATTTTACTTATAAATACACAATTAAAAATAAAATTCAAAAAATAATAAATGCAACATATATTTATTATTTTATTTGCCTAATATTATAATAACACTATTTTTTATTTTTATTTAATTTTTTATTTATATTTATTTTTATATTTTAAATAGTTATACAATTTATATTTATTATTTTAGTACCCAATTATTACACTAAATATTTTAATTATGATTAATTTTAATATAATAAGTACACAATATATTTTTTAAATTGAAAATATCAAATTGATTTAAAGGGTATATTAGTACTTTTACATTTTTTTATTCCGATTCTGGGTGTAAGTAAACGTATGAATGAGATTTAGAATGACTCCGATTCCGAATCCTATCACTAAGTAAACAGCTTATTCTGACTTCGATTCCTTACTCCGAATCCTATCCACTCCGAATCTTGTCCACTCCGATTCATGCTCATTCTGATTAATGTATGACTGTCATTTACGTATAAAATTACTTGTTATTATTCTCATAGAAAAAGGCTTTATTTTAATAATAAAAGTTTTATAATTCTCAAAAAAGTTACCCTCCATGCAACGGAAAAGACTCTTGTCACGTATCTTTAGTAAGATGAGAAAATCAATATCGATTTTAATTGTCTTTTTTTCTTTTAAATATTTGTAAAGGGAAGAAAGAATGAAGAAGAAAATAAAAAATGTATCCTACTTGCAGTTCTCCTATTGGCTTGAGCACGTCACCAAACTCCAATTAAATTCCATTTCAATTAAATTCACCAAAAGAGGGAAGATTCACAATCCCTCGCAAAATCCAACGCGCAGAAAAGAGAGTTTGGTACAGACGCCAATTCGTTTTCTAGCAACATGCCATATATTGGTGACGGCGACTGGGAAGATGATTGGAGTTAAAAGCGAGCGTGTAGTTTAATTGTTTGACCGTTAAACGAGAAAAGAAGAAACAGGTCATCAGAAAGGCAGTGTTTGAGATTGTTTGTGTTAGTACTGATTGTTGATACCAGAATTTCTCATACACCGATGGCCCACCGGTGAAGTATTGTTCCCACTTGGGCCCGCCGTGACGGGTGGGGTTTTGTCCATTCGTAAAAGGCGCCTCGCTGGTAGAAGGGGTTGGTACTCTGGTACATATACCTCTCCAGACCTCCGTCTCCAACCGATGTGGGACTCTTGGCATACAACAATGCCCCCCGAGACGGGGGACTGGGGAGGCAGGTCGTGGCCAAACGTCCCCAGTGGAGTCGCCAACTGTTGATACCAGAATTTCTCACACACCGATGGCCCACCGGCGAAGTATTGTCCTCACTTGGGCCCGCCGAGACGGGTGGGGTTTTGTCCCTTCGTAAAAGGCGCCTCGCTGGTAGGAGGGGTTGGCACTCTGGTACATATACTTCTCTAGACCCCCGTCTCCAACCAATGTGGGACTCTTGGCATACAACAGTGACTACTTCGCCGGTTGGAGACGGGAGTCTGGAGAGGTATATGTACCAGAGTGCCAACCCCTCCTACCAGCGAGGCGCCTTTTACGAAGGGACAAAATCCCACCCGTCCCGGCGGGCCCAAGTGGGGACAATACTTCGCCGGTGGGCCATCGGTGTGTGAGAAATTCTGGTATCAACACTGATGATGATCAATTTCTCAATTTGATGCCACTTATTATGAGTTGTTTGGTTTCTTCATTTTGGAAAATAGGAGATGATCACGAAGAAGAAGAAGAAGGACGACAGTGAAAAAGCTATAAACAAAACAACACAATATTATAATGAAGATGATGAGATATTCAGATCCAAATTCATATTGGTATTGGTATTGGGTGAAAGTAGACGGTCATCTGCATTTTATAGAGATGCATACACAAATACGGTTTTGAAAGGAAGTAATTTGTGTTTTCCCAAATTATTTGGGTTTTCAAATGTAGAAGAATGTACGATCAATGTCATTGAATTCAAATGTTAAATATATTATCAGAAACCTGTCAATCTATTTGAAAAATTATCAGACTATACAATCTATAGACTGACTCGCATTCTACGTTTCCACCACGGTGTAAGCACAGTTTGTAAATCCTTCTCCTCAACACTACAAAAGCTTCTCAGCCCTGGAGATAAAGAAGGCGGCAAAATTAATCCAAGCTATCTTGCGATATCTTTACGTCACTGTGACCAAGGAGTTCCAAAAAAGAAAAATTTTTAAACTAAAAATGAAATAGCCTATAATTATAAGTCTTCATTTCAGCTTTAAACATGAGCATGCTATAATAATAAAAAATAAAAAAAAATAAAAAAGTAAGTGGGTAAATTTTAACTATTAATATAATCCAAACTTAAGAAAGGTTTAAAGCCCCAAAATATAAAGACCCGTTTATTTCATATATTCAAACTCAAATTATTAATTTTATTATAGTGTTATTTGAAACGTCAGAATTAAGAATCATGATATTTAAGTATACCTTCTAAATGAAAAAGGACAGGAATAAGGAGACATGTGAGCTCAATTCTTATTAAGGAGGGTGAGAGTAAATGTGAGTAAGTGATACAATTGTTGTGGTTGCGAACTTTTTTCTTTTTTAAGGTTTAAAAAAAAAAAAAAAAAAAGTGATACCTTTATCAGTGGTAGCAAGCTTAGCAAAGTGGTAATTCACAGGCTTGATTACCTGTAAAACCATTTTGGTACAACTGCCAGTGAGACACAAAAACGTATGGTTGTAACATGTACCTTGTAAAGCCACACAAAAGATTCCTTCTACAGAGAAACAAACGTCCAAACAAAATACAGACGATTGTCAAAAGATCATTCTGTACATAATTCAGGATTGACATAAATTACTAGATACAACAATAAATCAGACAGATGATTAGCATTTTCCTACTATTAAAATAACCACACTGCCTAGTCTCTATATGCAATATGCAGCAACCAAGCAAGGCAGGGCTACAAGAATAACCTCCTTTCGTCTGTGTTAATGTTTATATATAAAACCATATATCATCATCATCGTTATGTAACTGTTCTCCCTACTGCTCCTACATTCCATCCTCTTTCCTTTTCCTTCTGACTCTGCTTCTGCATTCCTTTAGGCGTATTTCTCCTTCCATTGCCGAGTAGCACCCTGTGAGCGGGTCTCCCTCGGCTTCCAATTGAAACTCTAACCCTTTCCATCCCTACATTCACACCTTTCTTCAAGTGTTGTTGCATTGGTGACTTTGTTTGAATTCTCTTTTGGAGGCTCCTCCTCAGTGTGTTGCTTAGCTTCCTAGAACCACTTTTGATAAGGTTCGGACTGTTGCAAGATGTCTGCTTAGGCAAGCAGTTAGCGTCGGACTCATCTGTGTCGTCTTTCTCATCAGCAGGGATTGGTGCCAATGGCAGGAATTGGAGCGGGATCTGCGTGGTGGTTGGGGTGCTGGGGAACGGGATGAGGGAGTTGCGCCTTGGAGCGGGTGCTGCAGGTAGCTTTCTCTTTGCCATAGGGCAAATGGAGGCTCTTCCAGTTCTCTTCAGCAGAAAAGGATGTTCAGCCATGTCGGGGTTGTTCTCTTTTTCTGTCATATCAATGTACCTGACAAATTCTTCCATTGGACGAAAGGGTACTTGGGGTTTGTAGCTGTTCTTCTCAACTAGAGGTTGGGTGGAATACACTTGGTCTTTGGCTAACACACTTGATGTGTCGGTTGTTACATTCTTGAGACTTCCTAATGGTCGGTTTCCAAGAGGCGGCATGATTGATGCTGTATTCTGCTCTTCTTGCTGATATTTTATTTGCTGTTGTTGCTGCTCAGCTATCTTTGTATCGACATGCTGACGTGCTAGCTTTCTCTCGACTAGAAGTTGTGCTTCTAATTCTTTTACCTGCAAAATAAATTTTGACAGCCAAAATTTCCACGTGTGACGTTTAATATCTTCGTGAATCTGAATTAGCGAAACAGATAGACTCTAATCAAGTACCTTGTCTTGCAGGTTTTTATTTTTAAGGTCTCTCTCCTTTAGCTTTTGTTCCAGTCCGTAAACTGTTTCCTCCAGCTTCTTCATTTGTACATCCTTGCTCTTTATGTCTATCTTTGCCTTCTCGGCCTAACAAGAAGTTATTCATGAAGACAGTTAAAACTAAAGAGATTTATAGGAACAACTACTAACGAATGATAAGACAGAGACAATAAAAGTCATTTATACCAATTGTTTGTATCTTAAATACTCCATATTATCCAGTTGCTTCTTAACTGGCCCCAACTCAACTCCTCTTACTCTACTTGCGAAGTTTAGCGAGCAGATGGTCTCACCCAAATCGCGCTCGTTAGGACTGATCTGTACAAACATGAGTGTCTTCGAATCTCCGCCTAAACAAATGTAATGACAAGTTCATCAGGGACTCATTTTTCTGAAATTCATGTTGGGAAAAGTAAAACTGAAGTTTAAACAAATCCCCTTTTGCCAATGAAAAATAAATTTCAAAATCTAAAAAATAAAAAAACTTGGAATTTCTCCATACAGCAAACTTTATATATAGTACCTAAAGAGTCTTGCAGCAAATGCGTGAGCTTGGAGTTCCTACAAAGTAAATGAAAAAACAAATTAATAAAAAGAAAGCTCCAAATGTTAAATAGGCAGTTTTCATGTTTAAGTAAATAAAAAAGTGACTGATCTATACGTCCATAACCTGAAAGGAACGTGGGGGCTTTTAGTTGCAAGTGCAGATATAACATCGCCAAGCGCAGACAGAGATCGATTGATATTTTGGGTTTCCTTGAGTCGTTCTCCTTGCACTTCTGTCTTCGCTATTCTCTCGCTTCCAGCAAGATCCACCAGCCATAGTTTGCTTCTTGTGCATTCCCCATTTAACAAATTTTCTCCCTTCACCATCACACAGTGAATGCTGTGTATTAAAAAAGAAACCGACAAAGATTAAGCAATCTGTCTGCAGACCTACATGATATAATTCAAAATGCAAAATTTCTTCGGAAAAAGATAAAAAGAGACCAGTGGGATCGGCTGCTATGCTCATTGGCATTGGTTGACCCAACAGCTCTTGCATTACTGCCAGTTTGAAGAACCTCCCAGACTTCATTCATGTTGCTTACATGTGCCTCAACCAGTCCTAGCACATGATGTACCCCTTCACCCACCTGTCTTATTTCAAGCCTACAAGTAATTGCATAACGTTAAAACCTCTATAAGAAACATGTTTAGAAGCCAGATTTTTGGCTTCTCGGTCCCAATAGCAGCTCTCACTGGTGTTTGGCAGAGATACACAAGTTATTAGTTGCTAGGAGCTCTTCTTGAAGAAGCTAGACCCACATGGCTTCTCTTGGAAGAGCTTCCATAGAAATACAAGAAAATTATATTGGAGTTTTGAATAAACACTTTTATTTATATTTTTTTAACTTTTTATTGACAACGACAAAAAATTAATAATGGATGAACTAAGATTTTCACTTGTAAGAAAATTTTACATGCCTAGACTATAAGAGGAAAGTAAACAAGACAAAAGGGTAAGAACATCACGGCTTACCTTTTTCCAGCTGCTCCTGTTTGAGTTCCTGGACCTAGTAAATCTCGTATTTGCTCATTGTACACTTCCAACACACTTACAGATACACTGTACCGATACAACTTTTGTCGCTCTGTAATTACACAAAACAGTTCCTCAAGAATTCTAAAGTTTACTCCTCGAGCTTCTTCCGTCCCCTCCATGGTAAAAGTTTTTCCAGTTCCAGTCTGTCCGTAAGCAAAAATGCAGACATTGTACCCATCTAGAACTGAGGTTGCAAATGGCACTGTGTCTTTGAAAACATCAGCTGCGCAGCACAACAAGCGAGATTTAGTTTTGGGAAATAAGAATTCTTTTAGACACTTAGTAACAATCAAACCAATGTGATGTAAACAACTCCTCTAACATTCAAGTAAGTATCATGGTTGTTTGTATACCTTGTTCTGTTTGTGGGGAAAAGACTGCATCAAACTTGAAAGTCTTTTTTACAACCCCATTTGATTTCACACTAAGCTCGCCATCTTTAGCAGATTCGAAGTCAACAACCATAGAAGCACCTGCTTCGGTTTCTTCATTGTTTAGAGGTCTACACCGGCAAAAGACCCTTATGTTTCCTACAGGAAACCTTGATCTTCAGCAAATCATTTTCACCTCTCAAAAGATATAGAATTCAAACAAGACATGGAGCTAACCTTTAAGCTCTAGCACCTTGTTGTAGAGTTCTTTCCTCTCCTTGGCCCCTTCAACAAATTTTGTCTTGAGGTGTTCATTCAAATTTGTTTGTTGATTTACTGGCCAATATCAGAAGATAAGAGAATTAAAAGACAAAAACATATAATTTCTTTTTCCAAGTCTTTTTACTCGTTCAAAAATGACTTTTATTTACTTACTAGCGGACTGGACCGTTGAACTCATTTCATTCATATCTGCAAGGAACTTCTCATATGCAGATGCCTCCTCTGCCATCTTAATGTGTTCCATTTTCATAATCTATTTAATGAAAATTCTCACAAATAAGCACATCTTCAAATTTAATCATGAGACTTGTTTTGCTTTGCTATGGTTCAGTTACCTTGAGCTTTCGGGTCAAATCTGTCAAAGAGGAGAACCATTTGCTCTTCTCCTTCACTTGTCCCTCGATTGCGAAAGCTGAAAAAGACAACAATCAATACCCAGGTCATAGATTGCTCAAAAAAAAACAAAAGCTTTTAAGAGCCAGAGAAGAGTAGTTTTCTATCTATCTATGTCCATACCCAAAGATCCGACGTGCATGGACTTGCGCATGAGCTCATTCTGGAGTTCCTCTAAAGACTTCTTAGCTTCTTGACACTCTCTACTTTTGACTTGGTTTTCCCTCTTAAGCTCCTCTAATACCATTCTCAACTCCGTCAATTCCTCCTTTTGAGACTCATACTCTCTAACCAGCTTTTCATAGTCCACTTCCACCTCAAATTCACCATTTTCCTATTGGATTCAATTATTAGAAACAAAATAAGTTTGAATTTTTCTATCGTTCCTAATAAATTGCAACACGAAAAGGATTTACCTTTGGTGATTGGCTTAAAAAATTCCCATCAGCAGAAGATGTTGTGGGATCGGGAAGGAGATGTTTGTCGTCGGAAGCTTCGGGGGGCGGCGGCGGGAGCTCAAAAGAAGCTTCTGGAGATAATTCATGATGATGATCATCATCATCTTCTTCAGTTTCTTGATGATGAAAAGTTTGGCAGAATGGGGAAAACCTAACAGAGGGAGTCTTAATCTGAATTTGGGAGTGATGAGATTCAATTCCGTTCTCCAAAGAAAGCTCAACGGATGTCCCTAAATTATTATTTTTGTCGTGACGACATTTAGTAATAGTACCAGTAGTGTCCAAGAAGTCAGGAGAATCTAAATACTTGATTTGGGGAATCTCCAAATCACGAGGAGGAGATGGAGAAGCGTCTCTCAGGGAAAACTCCATCATGGATTGCCCTGAACAAAAACAGCATTACCCAAATTCTTATAATTAATTAAACCAAAAAGGAAGGAAAAAAAAAGATGGGTTTTGCTGGGAAATGCATGAATTTACAAATACCTTGAGGATGATCAGAAGGGGGATCAAGATCTGCCATTGTTTTGTTTTGTGTTTGTTTGGCTGAAATTGAAAACGTCGTTTATTTGAATTCCTCAACTGCTGCTGGAGAATGGAGATAGATGGCTGCTAAAAACAAGTGCTCAACGAGAAAAGAAATGCTTTTTCTAACTCCATCACTCTCTCTCTCTCCTCTTCATTAGAATTTAGAAATAAAGGAAGAAAGAGAAGAAGAAAATAATCAGAGAGAGAGAGAGAATGGCGTTGATTTCGTTCGTTGATGCATTATGCATATTTCTTTGGATTCGGATGACCGTTTTGCCTTTTTATTTGAATTTTGAATTTTCTTGACCGGGTCGCTCATTATCCATTGCTATTCTATGCTTCTCTCTCTTCTTTTCTATTTCTTTTTATTTCTTTTTTTTTTTCCGTTCGTACGAGAAAAGAGAGCTTTTTTTCACATGTAATGTTATGCTCTTGTTTTCATCCTAACTAGTAACCAGTAATTCCGAACCCACTATTATTTTTATAGCTTTTAATACAAATAATTAATTAATTACAAAATAAAATAAATTCAGAATATATATGCTTTACTTCTACATAATTGGAGTAGTAGACATTCAGAGTAGTGACCTAACAGAGTGCTACGTTAGAGGGCTTATGGGAGAATAGCTTTAACAATATTTTTAGGGGAAAAAAGAAAGATGTAATTTTTTTAATGTTTTTTTTTATAAACATTAGTGTTCTCTATTTATCAACCGTTAAATTTGTATTATTTTTCAATTTAATTTGACTTTTAATAAAATTTAATACAAATTTGACGATTAATAAATAAAAAATACCGATATACCAAGGGAAAAAAAAAATACTAGAGAAAGACCCAAAAAAAAATAGAAACACAAGTCATCATTTTTTACTTACTGTTTGGATAGTACATCACAAAGAGCTTTTAAATTTATTTGACTAAATAAATCACTAGCACTTATAGTTATAAAAAGTAAATGTAATATAAAGATACAAATGGAATTTTTAATTTATCATTCACAAATAAAAGATTAAAAATGAAAATAAAACACTTTTTATAAGGATTTTTTTAAAAGTTAATCCAAACAGGCTTGTCCATCAAGATCAAAATTCTCGAGTTTGAGGTCAAAAACCTCTCGTAAGAAGTCGAGGTTGAATTTGACTTTTACAGGCATTATCCATTCTATTTTGCACGAGATCAGAGAGGGCCATAGCAATGGAGCAACGGAAAAAACTGCCAAAAATCTTGAAGGAAGCACCGAGACCCTCTTTTTTTTTTTTTTCAATTTTTCTTTTGTAGGTGTGCAATCAAAGTCAATTTCAACCAACACATAAAACAGCAAAATTTTAAATTAGGAAAAATAGAATACAATAAATCAAAACTGAATATACACCAATCCTTAGCAAAAGAGCTTTTTCAACCGTATTATGCTATAGATCCGAGAAGAAATTGTTTGAACAGTTATGTTCTGCGCTTGCATTTTTCTTCTTGGTCCCTGCAAAAACACATTTTCAACACATAACGACGGCATATTCTAATGATACAGATTGCCTACTCATGTCAAAAGAAATATCGAGAAACAATAATTATTGAGGTACCAGAAAGAAATACCTTTGTTTGACTTGGGTGGATTGACTTCCATATCCATATCCATCTCCATCTTATCGCTATCGTTGTTGTCTGCGGCCGCAGCTTCTCTCTCTAAATTGTTTCCTGGGTGTTGCAATAATTCATCCAAATCCCATATCTGCATGAGACAAACAAGAGAGATCATATATAGTAACTACTAAACAGTTGTGAAGATACTGCAACATTTATTTCCAAATATAATAATGTATACACACCCTCACATAACATTGCATGCCTGCATGGATAATATTAGAGAGAATGAGAGAGAGAGAGAGAGTGACCTTCAACATCTGATCATGTGCTACACTGCCCAGAAACTTCTTATCATGCGAAAAAGCTGCAACAGAACAAACAGAAAAGAAAAGAAAGACAGTGTTGAACATAAGAAATTGGTAGGAAAAAAGATCTAAAACTAGAAAGCATACGTGTTTGTAATTAGTAACCATGTCAAAAGACCCTCGAACCAAAGTGAAAAAAACAAGAGCATACTTTCGTTTCTAAAAATGATTATTTACCAAGGCGCTCGATGGGGTACTCTGAATGCTCTGCAATCGGTTGAATAATTCTGTTGGGTAATATGTTGACCAGGCTAAACACGCAAAATATGGGAATGTTAGTACAAATTTGAGAAATGGGCATAAAACGAAAAATTGAAATCAGAATGCAAACATATTCTTACTTGATTAGTCCATTCTCCGATCCAGTAATAATCCTATCTTCATCAAGCTGACACAAAGGAAACAGTGCATAAAGTATAAACTGAGCCATTCTGTGATGTAGAAAGAGAGAGGAAAAGCAAGAAGAAAAAAAGGTATTTCGGCAGTCCTATTCTCCTTACCTTCAACAACGCATCAATAGAGTTTGGAGACAGATCAACAAAGCGATCACTAGAAATGAAAAGGTCATGTGCATTAATCAGCAAAAAGAGAGTAATCGCTGTAGTTAAGATCTCTTAGAAACATATAGAGATGATTTCTATAATTATGACCAAAAACAAAGTACTACATATGTAAATTGACATACATCTTCAGTTGTATTTACCTGCAATCCTTAAAATACCCCCAGGAATACAGTAACAGAGTTCCAGTTTGTGATCCGCAAACAACTTTACGACCATTCTGACCATACAAAAAAGAATTAGATGTAAAGAATACCAGTAATAGCAGAAGATATTAGTATGGTAAACATATTTAAGAGAAAAAAGTCAGGATCAGGACGATATCTCTTCACATGGTTCAGTACTTGTTCATACTATTTCTTTCTTATAAGAAATCCCAGTGTCATTTTCCCTCTCTTTTATGGGATCTTTTCTTTACTTACAAGGAAATTTTAAGAATCACTGCATTGGGATAGGATTAATTGCAAAACACCAAACTGGCCATCTTCTCGTATATATTATTCAAAACCATTACTAACCACAATTGCAAACTTTTCATCAAAAAACCACAATTGCAAACATTTAACTCTTCCAAACACGTAGAAGATCTAGTGAGGGGAATTCATTCAGAGGAGCTATCCTTAAGAACTGGAAAAAAATCCTTTTTACTTTGACACATTATATATTAATTACTTTGACATAGTTGCAATTAAACACTTAACAAATGAGAGAAATGGCACCTTCACGATAACAACAGAAAGTAGCTCATCTTCTGAAAACTCGGATTGAGATTGGACCTGGAACAAAGATAGAAGTAATGAATAAATAAACAAATTTGAAAAAAAAGTTGGCCACTTAAATATATATATACTCCGCGATGATCCAGTAGTTTTAAAAGCCACATATTTATTTAATAGAAAGAACAAAATCTAACCTTATTTCTTCGCAAATTGCACACGGATAGTGTCCCATCACCACTGAAAAAGAAAAAACAATTAATATCTCAAAACTAATGAAATCCCTCATAACTTGTAATGTTATTCGAAAAGTTAATAGGCGGAATGTGGGGGTAGTACCTAGTCCCCAAGAGCCTCATGGAATCAGATGCAAAAGTCATATCTGAAACGTAATCAGTGTGTGCATTAAAAGTATTACAGCAAGAACGCTGTCTGGTATCCCACACCTTGATGCAACCTCCGTCGTCTCCGGAAGCGATGGTTGATTCCTTGATGTTTATAATCTTGTTAATGGCCTCCCTAAATAACATTCATACATTTATTTAGGTTCATCACACAATTTTTTCTTGTTGTTGCTGTTAAAGTGGTAACATTGAAGAATGAAATTGATAAAAAGTACCCATGAGCGTCTTCCAGACGGGCAATAGGAGAACCGGTTTCAACGTCGGTCGCTAAAATCGACTGGTCTGGTGATCCCGTCACTATTGCTGATACAGGATAGTTTTGTTTGTTTTTTTTTATGACAATTAATAAAATAAAATAAGAACGGTAAAGGTAAACTACTAGTAGATATTAAATACCACGGCCATTGTCGATGAATCGGAGGGCTCTGCATGATTCAGTGTGTGCGTGAACTTCCAACAACCTAAATTAATAATAGGAAATCAAACACAGAGAATGTTAGTAATTTTTAAGGAAACAATTATTAAGAAAAAAAAAAGAATTAAAATGTAAATCAAAGTCTAACCTCTGAGGCAAGGAATCAGCGCTGTATCGGTAGCTGCAAATAAAGTAGAAACACAACGAATAAACCATGATTCAATTTTCTTTTTGTCTTTAAGGGAAAAGATCAGAAAATGAGAGGAGGAGAAGGAGGAGCAAAAATTACAGAAGAAAGTCGCCATTAATGAGAGCAGCAGAAACCAGTTGATCGGAGGGATGGAAATCGATGTCGAACGGCAATTTCCCCAAGTTTATCTCCATTTCTTCTTCTTCTTTATTCAATTCAATGAACGAACAACTTTAAGAAGAAGAATAAGAAGAGAAACCCTAAAACCTCACTCCTCAATCCTCATCAACAACAACAACAACGGCAAGACGCCAATCCCCGCTTTGGGCTCCCGGCCCACCTATTTACTCGGACCTCTACTTTAATGGGCTAGGCTCCAACGCGGTGGTTGTTCGGCTTTTAGAGAAAAAAAAAAAAAAAAAAAAAAAAAAAAAAAAAAAAAAAAAAAGAAAGAAAGAAAGAAAAGCGAACAGACATGGTAGTAAATAGATGATAATTGAAGAAAAGCCATGTCTGTTGGCTTTTCTTTTTTTTCTTCAAACGAGTTAAGAGGAGCGTTCTAAATTGTGTCCATTATTGAACCTTGTATTCTTGTACTAAAACGTCTATAGATAGACTGATTTTAATTTGTTGTATCAAGTTTTCTGTAGTAAGTTCTCAGTAAGCTTCGTAATTTGTTGATTAATAAAATGTTTTTTGCATTAAATAAAAAACATAAATCTTTATACGTCTTTCTAATAAGGAGAATTCTTTGAATTTATCAAAGTTGGAGTGGACATAAAGACTTATGTCCTAACACATTCTAGATTTGTTACCCCCAATTCTTTCTTTAAAATGAAATCAATAGAGAGATGAAAATCTAGAATTGGAGAATATTTCCTTTCCTCCATTTTTTTAATTATTTTTGTACTAATTTTGGATGAACTTACTAATTTTGGATGAACTTTCAATCTCTTCTTTTTTTTCATTAAAAAAAAAAGAGAATAACAAATATTGTTAAAAAGATTGTTTCACGGAGCCAATGATATTAGCGTCGTTAAAATGAGAAAGAGAGAGAGAATTGATTAATTAGGATAAGAAAATTGTTTGTTGATAACATAACAGCTTTGGCAACATGTCCAAGTGCTTGCAAACACACAAAAAGGTTCCTCAATACTCGTAATTAAACCAAATGTTTGGGGCATGAGGACGAATCTTGCTAATCTCATTCAAAAAAAAAAAAAAATTGATTTCTGCAGTTTCATATCAAATAATATTATGACAAAAATGAATCTTCTTTTTACAAAAGAAGTTGAAATTGTAAGATTCATAAAAATTTATATACAGCGTAGTATAACATACAACACTAGTCATTTCAATTACATGTCAACGCTAGAAGAGCCTTTCAGCACCCCCCACCGCACTCCAAATAAATTGCGCCTTGGGAGCTGTTCGGATGCACACCACCGTCAGATCATTGATCGGAGAATGATAGGATACATCCCTCGACGGACGACATCAAAATTCCATATTCGTCAGGGAAAGACGCATTAGCCTCAAATTTAGAATTGCACGCCACGCCTTCTACAACCCGACTCCACCCTCCAATGCTGCTGCCATCGAAGCTGACGCCTCTTCAAGGGTACGCCTCTTTTCAACTGTGTTGAAGGCCTCAATAGTGTCTCCCTCCTCCCAATCATTGAAGTCTTCCACTCCAATTCCACATTCAAGTCCAGTACTTACCTGTCCCGCAAAAACAAAAGATTTTAAGAAAGCCCAACAACGAAAAAGAAACTAAATCCCTGTAAAGATATCACAAGAAAAAGCATCCAATAAAGACATTCCGAGTCAAGAAATCAAGCTCATGAGTATAGGCATAGGAAACGAAGACCTAGATCACAAACCAAATGGGTCAATGACTTTTCCAAAACATACCTCTTTTACGATCTCCTTAACCCGTCTCAAAGAATCGAGAACACCGACATGGACTACCTTGCCCTTTCGAAGGACACGGATGCCGCAGCCCGTAACAACTTTTCCCTCCATTACCATGCATCCAGCAACACGACCACTGCCGCTACTGAATACAACACGGACTTCAGCTGAACCAATGCTCACTTGTTCCTACAAACAGCAGATTAGGTGTTTAAATTATGACTATCACAGAAATTCCAAAACCTATATATATAAGAAATAAATGGATAAATTAAAGCACTACATATATTATATACGCCTCTAGAATTGAATGCCTTGAAGCCATGAGATCCATAATCAATCTTTTCTTTTTCTTTTTTCTTTTAAACTTTTGAAACGACCCTTAAATTGATAAATACACACACACATACACATAGTCACATTCCATTAAATAGCCACATAAAAAATGAAATACCCACATTAAGCACATATTCATACTAGAAACGCTTAATGGGAGAAAGACTTGAGAATCCATGAAAAGTGGATGAAGAAGACACAAACTGTGTACCTGGTTTTGAGAAAAAAAAACTGTGTACCTGGCATCTTATTTACAAGCTGCTCTCAAAGTTGAACAAAAAAGAAATGACAAAATGCTATGATTCATTCAACTAACCTCGACCGGCTCCAAGAGTCCTTCCATTGCATTTCGCACGTCATCAATAAGCTCATAGATAACTCTATATAGCCGAATTTCAACGCCTTTGTTCTCTGCGTAGCTTTTCACAGAACCTGGTGCTTTATTATTAAATCCCAAGATAATGGCTTTGCTAGCAACCGCAAGATCAACATCGCTGGAGCTTACATCACCCGTCGCTTCTAAAAGGAACTTTAGGGTGACGTTATCTTGCGGCAAAGTCTGTAGGGCTTGTCTCACGGCCTCAATCGAACCCTAGAAATTAGCAAAGAATAAAATATAAATACAGCTGGAGAATAAACCAACCATCAAGAGAATGTATTTATTGACTCCCACCTCAAGTAGAAAGCCTAGTCTACCTAAAAGTGAGTGTGTGGTAACTTAGAATAAATCATTACTCAATAGAACAACAAAAAATGATGCCTCCAGCAAATTAAATTTTATGTTAAAAACAGAGCCTCATGGATTCAACAGCTTTATGAGAGGAAGGATCATCTGACAGTACTTGATGAATAAGAATACATGACATTTTGGAGAAAACTCTTGGGCTTTCAAAATTGATTCTCACTTCAAATATTAAAACTTTTGAAGTTTCAAAAATAATGCTTTGTTTTAGGGACTAATTTAACGATCATGTCAAGTCGACCATTCAATAATATTGAAAAAGTCAAAAGTATTAAGCATTTTTACAGGTAAAAATAGATGTGCCATACCTGAACATCAACCTTCATGATAATATTTAGCTGATGCAAATCTAACCCAGACAGCTTTCCTGCTGCAACTGCAGAAGCTAAGGAAGAAAGAGTGACTTTCCCGTCACCTGCCTTAGCTGATATGCGCTCCTGCCACAATGACTCCGCGCGAGACTCTGCTTTTTCTCGTGCTATATCAAGGGATCCAACAACCTCAAATTCATCACCAGACATAGGGACATTATTCAATCCAATGACCTGCAACATGCAGATGATATTTTTACATGATATATTTTTTTTTTTTTAAAAAGTCTGAAAATGCACATGAAGCAGCTTCGAGAAGAAGTACAGTGGCTCTGCTAGCAATATATGCATATATCATAATCAGAAAGTTTACTTGCAAAATAAAGAAATCTGAGTTTATAATAAAGCATTAACAGATAGTATTTAACCTGAACAGGTATGGATGGTCCAGCTTCATTGACACGATTTCCATCATCATCAAATAAAGCCCGCACCTGAGAATGGGAATCAACCACCGAATTGTATTTAGGACAGACAATAAAAGAGAAGGGCAAATTAAGGGAATGAGAATTTAAAATTTCCTACACACAAACCTTTCCAAAGGCTTCTCCACAGACTACTATATCCCCTCTTTTGAGGGTTCCATTTTGGACAATAAGCGTTACTACGGGTCCTTTTGATTTATGAAGACCCGCCTCAATGACCGTGCCCTTTGCACTTCTATGAGGATTAGCCTTCAACTCTTGCAACTAAAACAAAAACATGAAAACTATTTGAATAAATGAATGCAGGTTAGCAAAAAGAAATAGGGGAAATGAACAGCGACAAGAAATCAAAAAGAAAAAGACATCTGAGAAACTTTATCCATGAAAGTGGCCAGCTGAACTAATACATTGTTGAGAAATTAAAAAGAAAAAGAACAATTGGAACAAACTATAAGAAGCGTGTCAAAGCTGATTTATTGGCATTGAAGAGATTTGACCAACCTCTGCAACAAGCATAACAGTTTCCAGGAGCTCATTAACATTTTCTCCTTTAAGAGCACTGATCTGTGAAAGACATTTAAGAGTGAAAACATGTATAAGAATATATAAAGCAGTCAGAAATCTTACAGACTGTTTCTTTTCTGTCTTTCTTTCTTTCTTTTTCTTTTGGTGAAAAAACAAAAGGCATCAAAGGGATTGCTACAAGAAACAATAACCTGGACCATCGGGATATCTCCACCCCAGTCTTCCGGCATCAGACCAATTGAAGAAAGTTCTTGCATGACTCGTTCCGGATTAGCTCCCTCTCTATCTATCTGATCCAATAGAAAAAAGAAGAATAGTTTAACGAATTGGGTGTTGGTGCCACAAAACAAGCAAAGTAATCAGACCAATAAGAGAATGATGGGTACGATCAGTAAAATAATTAGATATAACCTAACAATAATATTTTACTGTCTTCATTTTCTCTCTACTAATAGGAATTCACCCCCACCATAGTAAAATACCTTGTTTATAGCTATGACTATTGGTACTCCAGCTGCTTTAGCATGAGCTATTGCCTCGTTCGTTTGAGGGCGAATACTGTCATCAGCAGCCACTACAATGATAGCAATGTCAGTCACCCTTGCTCCACGAGCTCTCATTGCTCCGAACGCCTAGACAAGCAGACAAATTATATATCATTTAAAGTCATGAAAAGTGCCGAAATTAACAGTTCGTAAAAGCTATTTAGGGAAGGGAAATGGGGGTTGAGTGTACCTCGTGACCAGGAGTATCGAGGAAAACGCATGGTTGCAACTTGCCATCAATGGGTACCAGCACCTTATATGCTCCAATTCCTTGTGTAATTCCACCTGCTTCTGAGGAAGCTACCTGTAAATATTGACCACTCAACCATAAGTTGAACTTGAAACATTATTCTTATGGATGCTAGCACCAATTTTTTTACATAGCTCCGATACTACTATAACCTCACATCCTCTGAAACCAAAAGAAAGGAGAAAAAATGCATTTTGTTCTTAAACAACCTTAAACTACAAGAATGATTGCATAAGGAGTTTAAGGGGAAATCAAGATGATTGAGCTGCAAAATTTACCTTGCTCTTCCGGATGCAATCCAAAAGGGTTGTCTGAAAACAGAAAAAGAAAATAGAAACACATATTATCAATACTTGGCTAACAAAGTCTGCAAATACAATACTGAAAAAACAAAAAGAGAAAGAAAGAGAGACATACATAAAGGAATCGACTTAAGGAAATGTCTAAATGAAGTAATATTGATGATTGATTGGCACTTACCTTGCCATGATCCACATGACCCATAATAGTTAGGACAGGAGGCCGGTCTTCGAGCTTGTCCAAGTCTTCGTCATCAAGAAATTCCTTCTTTCTTGCCATCTCTTCCACTTTTACAGGGTCAGCATCTATGACTTCCACATCATACTCTTTGCAAACCATCTTCACGATATCTCTGTCCAGAGTTTGAACCCCGTCAGGCTTAATTCCCTTCGAGTACAAATATCCGAGAATTTCACCTTCGCTGATGGCCAGATCGTAAGCTAACTCCTCAATCAGCATACCCTTTTCACCAACCTCTAGAATTTCAACTTTGACAGGAGCAGCATCTCTAGCAGCCTGGAGTCGAGCAGCTTTCCTGCTCGCTTTACTCCACTTCCTCCCTTTCCTGGCTGCTCCAGGAATCGACACATTGAGTTCTGATGAATCCTCATCGGGAATCTCAACATCATCACGAACCATCCGTCTTCTTGATCCCCCAGCTGGAACATTTTTCTTCCGGTACTCATCTTTGAATTTTCCAGGTGGAGGGCTCTTTACCGGTTTTGTAGGAGCTAAAACAGCTTCTATTAGAGGATCCACTACTGGTTTCTTGGATGCAAATTTGTCGATCAAAATAGGCTTCCGTTCTTTTTTTCTAACTGATTCATCAGTCCCTTGTGACTTTGGAGCAGCCCCCACGTCCTTCAAGATAACAGGTTTCTTTAATGTCGGAGGTGGCGCTACAGAGGGTTTTGCTTGTAGTTTTGGTTGTGGTCTCAACGATGGCTGAGGATGAGGTCTTAAAGAAGTGGGGGTTTGAGACTTAGGTTCTTCTCTCTCGACCCTTTTGTCAGGCTTAGAATTAGATGGGTCCTTCACAACTTTCCGTACAGCAACACTATCCCCTTTACGCCAGACACTCTTCAATGTTTTAGCTTTCCGATTTGTCGTTGAGTTCAAAGGCTCGGCATTTCCAGAATTAGAACTTGAAGTAGAAGTTGCAGGTTTATTTACAGACCCGCCATTTCTAATACTAGCCAAGTCACCCGATGTCGAAATCTCAAGCTTTTCGGCCTTTTCCAAAACCTCTCCGAGAGACTCAATCACCTTACTCCTCTCTTCCTCATCATCAGAATCCCCACGAATTCCCGACGAGTCCCAACCCGCCGAGCTCATGCCTGAAAGGGGTTCATCCTTTGAGCCCGGGGGCTTCAAAACCGGCTTCCGGGGAGGCTTGAGTACGAAACCAGCTTGGTCATTCGTAGAATCATTACTTGGTCTATTATTAAAGGTGGTGTTAGAATCAAGGGAAACGGCATTGGCATTGCCTAGGTCAGAGGAGGCAACGAAATCGGTCGTTGTGACGGAATATTTACAGACAGAAACAGAGACACAATGCCATGTCTTGTTGTTAGGCCTAAAGGAGGTTCTTCTAGACAAAGCAACTCTCCTAACAAGTGAACGAGAGGAGATTTCAGAGGGTCCCACCACCATAACACTTCCCAAACTCACCAGGGAAGCCATGGAAGCCATCGTTCCTTGTCCTCCTAATAATACTACCATGAAACCAAAACTATATCTTCTAAACTGTAATGATAATAATCATCTTCTTCTTCTTCTCTCTCTCTCTCTCTATCTAGAATTCCCACATGTATAATTGAATTGTGAAGTATAATAAGCAAAATTCAGAAAGGAAATGAACAAAAGCAGTGAAATTTGGATTGCCCCAACAATAATCAGAGGAAAAAAGAGGAGCCCAGAATACAAATCAAAGAAGAAGTTCGTTACTTACCTCTCCAGTCTCAACCAAGATTGGAAATTGAGAGTGAAAAGGAAATGGGAAAGAGGGTGTGTGGCTGTGAGAGTGGGGGATAATATAACGTTAGAGAGAGAAACAAGAGAGAGAGAGAGAGAGAGAGAGAGAGAGAGAGAGAGAAGAGTATTTTGTTTTGTTTTAGACAACCAGAGGAATTGGGCGTGTGTGGCTGCTTCTCTGCCTGACAAAAATACTGGCGATAAGGCTCTCTTGGTTTTTTGGGTTTTCACCCTCGTAATGTTTTGGGATTACGCCCAAATGTGAAAAAGAAATGCTCTTTTTTCTTTCATTTCTTCTCTATTTCTGTTTTCCTGATCGCAAGTATAAAGGAAAACGATGGATTGGATTGTTTTACAATACTTCCTTTTTACTACTCTCTTTTTTTTTTTTTTCTAAATTAAGGTACAAATTCTCATTCTAATTTGCCTCATTTCTCAAACAAAAACTATTTATTTTAAAAGAATGTAAATCAATTCTCCCTCAATTTTTTTCTCTAGTTATGGACTGTCATTGTATTTCAGTTTGTACTTTTAAATGTTCCTTTTTTTTAGGCTAGTTAAAAACAAAAATCAGGCGGTGCCTTCACGCTCCCGTTCTTTTAAGAGTGAAAAGGGCATGCCTTGGAATTCAATTCACTGTTAATCCCTGTGATGAATAATAATCTATAGAATTTAATGTGGTTCACCTTCCAATTCCAATGAAAGGTCACGTCCACTGTAATATTGGACTACTTCAATGTATTAGAGAAGATACACAAAATGCCTTGATGTCGTTGGGTGTTATTCCTCTGTTTATAGCCAATTGCTAGTTAACTACAAGTATCTGAATATGAACTAATAAGGTACATAAATGTCGTTAGTATTCTTTGTGTCTGCCAATCTACGGATTATGTTGACTTTATTCTTCTTTTTGTCTCATCGATTTTTCTTAGGCGTCGATCCAAGATATATTAAGAGATAAAATCATTATGGGGGTAGTGTTGTAGCAAAACATGATCATGACATCTTGTGTTTCCATAGTATTAAGAGGTTTACTCTCAATTTTATTTTAATTCTTAATTTTTTAAACAGTGCACAGTTAGTTCTTAAAGTTTTATTCTGTTTCAGTTCCGGTCTTTTTATTAGTTTAGTGTTAAATATATGGCGAAATTTAAAGAAATTAATGACTAAAATTAGAAACATATAAAGTTTAAATACTAAAACAATAGTAAAACTAAAAGTTAATTTCCACATATATACCTAAAATTTTAAATGTTTTAATTTTAAACTCTAATCTACACATATTCTATTGAATTTTAGCGCCTAATTGATTGAATGATTGAAACCGAAACAAAATAAAATCTCAATGACCATCTGTGTAACGTTTGAAAAGTCAATGATTAAAGTATGATTGAGTGTAAACCTCATGACCATTTGTGGAATTAACGCTTTTTAAAACATCTTCTTAGTACTTTGAAGCTGATATTTGAGACGTAAAATAACCTTAGTACCGTTCTATTTAATTAACTAAAAACTAATAAATCTAAAAAAATCATGAACTTTTTTATTTTGTTGCTTTCTTTTTAATATCTTAACATTAAAATATTTTTAGATTTAAAAAAATATATTAATTTCTATTTAATTAATAAGAATGGTAGTTTATACATTATATATTTTAAAAATTAGATTCAAAGTATCAATGAGATATTTTTAAAAACATAAAGGTACTGTTTTATTATTATTATTAAAAATATAGGGGTATCAAAGCATGTTTCGCTGTAACAAGAGTATTAAAATAATTTTATCCCACATATTAATGTCACATAGCATTGAGCTGATACTATTGTGGAAAAATTAGAAGGAAACTAGCCACCACCGAAACAATTATCTAATATCATGTTTGTTTTACTAGTTTAGTTCAGTTCAACTCAGTTTGAACAGCGAGCATAGTTTAAATTAATGTTTGATAAGCATGCAATTTAAATTATATTAGCCATTTGAACTGAGTTAAACGACCCAACTTAAAGCTTAGCTCCCCATCAAGTTCAACTGTTTAAACTATTTTTAAACAATAAAAAGTGATCACTCTCTCTGCTTTCCAGACATACCAAACACAAATTTAAATGTTGTTCCCTAATCAAATTAAAACTTTAACTACACATCAAAATATCAATTCAAACTACAATTTAAACTATACAGTTTGAATTTTTTTGTTCAAGTCAAAAAATTTAAATAAATAAAATTCAAAACAATGAACTAAACGGGAATTAAGTATGGCATAGAACTTTTTTCCTCAATTTATTGTTTTTCCTCAACTTACAGGGAGAACTTAATACTTTAAACTTCAACATTATAGACTAATTAGGGCCCGTTTAGTTCGCTGATTCGAATTTTTAATTTGAGTTAAGATGTGACTTATGTGAGAACTTTTTACTGTAACAAAATAGTTAGATGTGACTGTTTTTTAGAGCTTTTTACTGTAACAAAACTCAAATTCTAAACTCGAATCGGTGAAATGAACGGTGCCTTACTGTTAAGTCAAGTTTGCAATCATTTTACGTCATCTTTCAATGGATTACTCTTTATTAAGGGTTTTTTGTATGGTACCCCCTCAACTTTTCGCGATCGGCATATTGGTTCCTTTTTTTTTTTTGTTACAATTGACTCCTTAATATTTAATTTTTTTTTTTTTTTTGCAATTGTAGTCTAATTAAAAATAGTGTTAATTTTTTAGACAAGACCATCCATGTGCGCCTCACATAACTCGCTAATGAGGGTAATGAGTGCCTTTTCACTTTCATACAAGACCGTTCATGTGCGTCTCACATGACCCACTAATGAGAGTAGTGAGCGTCTTTTTCACTTTCATAGATTATTATGTTAAAAAAAAAAAAAGCTTCGTTGCCTGACAATATGGAGATCTCAATCGGAGGGGAAAAAAAACCCACGGAGATCTAAAATCAAATGAAGATTCAAAAACAAACATGGATAATGATGGAGAAAACCAAATGAACTTTAGTGTTTTTTTTTTTCATGATATGGGTTTTTTGTTTGTTGATCTTGGTGGAATATATATGGTTTGGTTGTAGATATCCAAGGCACTAGAGATTTTTTGAAATTGAAGGCATGGGTCTGATCAGAGTTGGGGGAATGCAAAGATTTAAGGGTGTGTTTGGTAAGAGAATTCGTATCTTAATTCGAATCATGGTTTATGGTTCACTACAGTGTTTTTTCTCACAAAAAATAAACATAAATCGAAAATGGTTATAATCTCATAATTCGAATCTATAAACTAAACGTCTCCTAAAAGACGCTAGGAATTTTTTAAAGTTTTGGGCATATGTACACAAGAAGTCAGAAAATAAGAGAAGATTTGTGGCTATGAATTGCTTCCAACCCCCAAAGCTAATGCCAGACGATGCTAAGAGGAGTTGTTAGTGATGATGAAATTACTCTCTCTATTTTTTTGTTATGGAAAAAACATAGGTTTGAAAATTTTTAAACCCACTTCATTTCAGTATTTTTTTTCCTTTCTGATTTGTCTTATTAAAATAATTATTCTTATTAATACATCCCTACTAAGCAATTTTTTCTTTTACTTTCCAACCAATTCCTTCTATTCTTTCCTTTTATCTCCCCTTTTTCATTCTTTATCTTTTTTACTCTATTATATATTTATCTTTTTTTCCTTTCCCAAATTAACCCTGATAAACATACTTTTCTCTTTAATTTCCTGTTGATAAAATTTCTTATTCTGCGTATCCATATATAAATTTTCTTAAATTCTCCAATTTAAAGGGACACATGTTAATTGTTATGACAACATGCCATACCAATAAAATTGTAAAAATTTAGGTAAATCAGTTTAATGTCATGCTCTAATGCTATACTTACTAGCAATACGTGATTTCAATTCTTTTCGATTCCAATCTGGTTATCAAAAAGCACTAATGTTTTACTTTATTTTGTGTGATAGACAAAAGAACTTGACTAATTAAGGACTTATTCTTTTAGAGTTTAACTTGAGTATAATTCTTGAGTTAAATTTGAGTTATAACTTGAGTTGAACTTGTAATTTGAGTTTGTGTTTGGTTGTATACATTTAAGTTATGGTTTGAGATAAAAATCTTTTTGAGTTTGTGTTTGAATGAGTCAAAACTTGAATTTGTATTTAGATAGTATTTTAATAAAAATTCAATGCTGATAAAAATTTTTAATAGGGTATATGGGTCTAGTTTTATTCGTCTTTTCATTGTCAACGCATAGAAAAAAAAATCATCTCAATCAGAATTAAACGAAAAAGTTATAGCATTTTTAAGAATAGAAAAAATAATGTTTATTAATTTGAGTTCGAGTTTCTGAACTCGAGTTGAAGATGAAACTTGAACTCAAATTTTAGTTATAAACTCGAGTTTGAACTCGAGTTTAAACTTAAAAGAACATGAACTCGAATAAAATTCTAACTCGAGTTACTTTTTTTTTTGAGTTTTTCACTCAAAAGAACAACCCTAAAACATCTTATTCAAGTGACTTGGAATAGTTCCATCATCTATTTTTTCTATTTTTCTCTAAGAAAGATATCTTAAGAATTTTTTCTAGAAAAGTAATATTACAAGAAAAAATTATACAACATCTGCATTCTGCCCTAATCTCTCTCTCACCCATCTCTTCCCAGACGCAGCCGCTGGCTTTTTCCGTCGACCACGGATTCAAAGTTCAATGGCCGGTACCCTTGCAAGTCCGTACACTAATTTCACTCGATAGTTTTTTTCCCTGCCACCCTTGAAAAGTAAAGTGGCCATACAGTCACTTTTGACTGTTTGAAGATCCCCTGTAGATTTCTTGCTTAAAAATTTTGAGAAAATTTGATAAAAGAGACCGGAGAAAATTAGAATTTGAGAAAATAGACCAGTTTTTTTTATAACAAAAAAATGATAACGTGTATCTTATGTGGCAAAAAATGGGTCCTATTAGTCCTAGGTCATTTTCAAAAATCTCATTCCTCACAAAACCGACCGCCGCTCGACCCTCTCTTCCCCCCGAAATCGACCGCTCGACCCTCTCTCCCCCGACTGAGCTCTCTCACGACCGACCACCGGTTTTTCTCTCCGATCACCTCTCGCTGACCGCCGTCTTTTCTCTCCGATCAGTCACCAACCTCACGACCGACCGACGGCTTTCCTCTCACCTATTTCTCTCTCTCTCTCTCCGATCCACTCTCCGATCTCTCTCGTCTCGGCCGACCGACCACCTCACCAAATACCGACCGTTCATCAAAAACTGACTCCGTTCCCACAAAAACCGACCCCGACCACTCACCAAATTCCCAACCACAAAAACCGACCACTTGCTCACCAAAATCTGACTAAAATGGCATAAAAAACCAGCTCTTCTTCCTCAACTAAAACGGCCATTTCCCGAACAGTTGTCGACGAGGCAACGGAATCTGCTGAGGTAATATTCTTGTTTTACTTTTTCTTATATATTTTTGCAAGAACAAAAACTTAATATAAGCAACATTGGTCTGTTCATAGTCGGTTCTTAGTCGGTTTTGGTTCTGGTCTGTTCTCAGTCGGTTCTAGGTCGATTTTAAGTCATTTCTGGTGGTCGGTTCTTGTCGAGTAGGGTCGGTTCTTGGTCGGTTGGTGGTCGGTTCGGAGTCAGTTCTTGGTCGGTTCAGGTCGGTTTTGGTCAGTTCTGTTCGGTTTTGGTCGGTTCTGTCTGTTTGGTCGGTTCTGTAGGGATTTTGGGTCGGGTCATGGCCGGTTCAGTCGGTTCTTGTTGGTTTCTTGGTCTATTCTAGTTGGTTCTGTCGTTTTGGTCGGTTCTGACCGGTGTGTTTTTTTCTTTTTTTTTCAATATGACCTCCCAAAGTACAACACAGGTGAACTTCCTGGGATCAGACATCTAAAGATGATCATGGATCCTGTGCGCAGTATTTCCCAGTGAAAGTGACTATGAAGTCAAAGATCGAGGCTTTGGAGGTAATCAGGCATAATCTAGACCCCGAAACAGAAATGCCAATTTTCAAGGAGTCTACCTTCAGACATTTTATTTCGATGTCTGAAAATATGATCTATTTTGGAGTGTTGACACAATATCTGCTTTTGAGGCGGATAGAAACAAAAAAGAGACATGAGTTGTGGTTCATGGTTAATGGAACCACAACTAGGTTTGGAATGAGGGAATTTGCATTAATTACTGGATTGAACTGCGGGAAAACTCCAGAGCCGGACGTGATCTTGAAAGCTTCGAAGAATAGAAGATTATTGGAGCATTTTAAGTCCCACGTAGTACTTGTTGCTGATTTAAGAAAATTGCTCACAGGGAAGAAGATAAAAGGTAGCGATAAAGCAAAGATCGCTATCATTTATTTTTTAGCACAACTATTATTATCTGGGGACGAGAAGAAGACCGTCCCACTGGATTGGTTGTCTTACGTTGACGATTTAGAATTCTTCAACAGCTATCCATGGGGCAGGGTGTCTTTTGAATGCACTCTGCAGGCTTTGAAGAAGAACTTGAGAGAGAAATTCCAGAAATGGGTTCGGAAAGGACGTAATAAGAGCATCAAGGAAACCTACTCAATATGTGGGTTTCCTTGGGCCTTCCAGGTATGTCATAGAGTTATATGCATAATTTTTCATGGCCTTATAGTAAATAATACCATAATTGGTTTACTAGACTTAAAAAAATTGGTTTAACGCAAGTTTGGGCATTCGAAACATTTCCAACCATCGACGCCACGTTTGCAAAGATGGTTGAGGGACGTCTTCCCAGAATCCTCAAATGGGAGGCACGCCGGGTTTCATTGGTCGAGGTTAGACAGATAAACGACCTCATGCACAGTGGCGAGGTAAGGGTTTAAATACAATGTTTTTATAGGTGTAAATTTTACAAAATAGGCATATTTGTTTTTTTTTACAATATGTTTCCACCTAAATAATCATTGAATGTATGTTTTTTTAATATACATGGAATAACCGTACCAATTCTTTATCCCACTGAAGAGGAAATGAATAGTATGTGCATGAGGTTGTATATGCCTTATGCCGACCAAGACGATCCTAAGATTGACCAGCTTGCATCATTTTTAGACTCTGGTGCAAGAATGGTCCATGTCCAGCAACCGAAGCCTCCAAAACAATTGGCTCGTCGACAACTACTTTCCCAACAACAACAGCAACTTCCCCAACAATAACAACAACAACAACAGCAACAGCAACAGCAACAACAACAACAACCTGAGCAGTAACAACAACAACAATAGCCGAGCAAGCAAGATGGTATGTCTATTGATCACATAGTTGACATACTCTATCACAGGATGGTAGAGTACAATAGTAGACATTTTGAAGCCATCAACAAAAGGCTAGACTCGCTAGTTGTATCTATTAGAGAAATTAAGGACAATATAGCATGTCTAGCGAAACAACAATTACAGCCAAAGCCAGTGCCTGAGGAAGAACTTGACCCAAAGTTTCAACTTGAGCCTGAGGCAGAACTTGAGCCTCAGGTTCAGCCAGAGCCTGAGGATCAGCTTGAGCAACAGGTTCATTCAGAGCCAGAGTCTGAATCGAAGAATGAAAAGTGAATTAAGAGGCCCAACAAGTATATTGAGTCGCCTTACACAGATCCCCTGCGTAACGTGAGGAAGAAGATGTGGACCTTTAACGATGCTGTCAAGGCCTTCAACAAGTGGTTCGCTGATTCTAGTACGGACTCTGAGCTGATTGAGTGTGGTTTTGGAGATTGGAGGAAGGACTTCTTCCAGATCATCTTAAAGCCAGGTGAATAGTTGTTCAATGATGTAAGTAATCACAACATATTTACTAAATGTATAGTCTTATTTTTTATACCATTATCATTATACTGAATTAATTTTTTATGACTTATAGCAAATTGACGAGGCATGGGGTCTTCTATCAATTAGAAGGTCAAGG